TTTTTTTAGAACGGCTTGAATTTAGTCACGTAGAAATCGCTACCGGCTGTAACGATTTTAATAGTATCGTTATCAGCTGTTTCAACATCTAAAATGACTCAATTTTTTAAAAAATAATTTTTTCATAGAAATAAAAAAATATTTTAAAATATATTTATTTTAAGAGTTGATCTTTTAAAATTTTAATAATTTACAAAAAAAATATTTTTTAAAAATAACCCAAAATAGTTCAATTAACCAAAAATAAATTACTAGTATATTTTAAGATAAATTTAAATAAAAATAATTAAAATTTTAAAAATACTCCGTTTTTATAAAGAAAAACTTTTAAAAAACTGGAAAAAAAATGTTGAAAAAAAAATATTAAAAAAATACTTAAAAAATAAAAATAAGTAATATGAAAAAAATGGTCGTTATTAATAGTATTTAATAAATAAATTTAAATAAAAATAATTAACATTAAAAAAATTCCATTATTATAAAGTTTTTAAAAAAATGAAAAAAAAATTAAAAAAAAAAGGTGTTAAAAAAATGAAAAAAAAAGTTGAGTCACAGAAGAAAAACAAAAAAAAAATTACAAAATTTTAAAAATACTAAAAAAAAATGTTAAAATACATCTGGAAAAGAAAAAAAAAGGAAAAATATAAAAGAAAAAAATAAGTGAAGGAAAAAATGTAAAAAAACGCAAAAGAAAAAAATTAAAAACAAAATAAAAAAAATTAAAAAATTGATAAAATAAATTTTGAGAAAGAAAAAAAATCAAGGTCGTTGTGAGCTACAGTGACTTCTTTGACTATATGACCTCAATGATCCAAAAAATAACAAAAATTTTGAAACAAACAAAAAAAAAAAAAGCAATCGCTATGAGCTATAGGATTTGACTAATAAAAAAAGTGAAAAATTAAAATTAAAATAAAAAACTGAGGTCACTATGGCCATAGAGATTCTAGGTAGTCCAAAAAAGAAAGTACTTCTCCTGTCTTCATACATGCTCGCCACGTATCATTTTTACTGCAAAAACACCTAATAGGAATTCGAAAAATTACCACCTATATAACCCAGTTATCTTCATGGTCACCCCTTCCCCCACATTTGTCTCCAGGTATGCAATTTTTTTTTAATTTTTCAGTTGTCATAATTTTTTTTTATTAGTTAATATAATTATAAATTTTTAGTTTAATTATTAATTTTATTATATTTTTTGTTATTTAATTTAATTTCCTTGTAACATTTATATTTTTTTTTTATTTTTTCAGGTTATTACTATTTTATTTTGATTTCTTCATGTCAGGTATTTTTTATTTTACGTAAATGTTTAGTTATTCATAATAAATATTTAATGTTTGAAAAAAAATTGTGAGTTATTCATGTCAGATATTTTTTTTATTTTTTTAAAACGTTTATGTGAGGAATTTTTTTTAGGTAAACGTTTATGTCAGGGTTTTTTTAGGTAAATGTTTATTTGAATGGTTGTAAAATCGCTATAGGTTAAATCATCTTAATTAATTTACTTAATCAATAATTTTATTTTTTTTCTAAATTATTTAATTTGATTATTGTATGTAATTTATTTATATTTCTATTTTATAAAAAAAAATAGGGGTCATTTAATTATTGTAAATTTATTTCTTTCAAATTAGATTACCTTCATTTTTTATAATATAAATTAATATTTTAAAAAAATTAATATAATTACATATTATATAAATAAAATTTAACAAACAAATAAATAACATAGCGACTTTAGATTTCATATATTTAGTTAATATTCATAAAATAATTTTATTGAATCAATAATATATGAAAAATTTATATTTTACTGCTAGTAAAAAAAATTACTTTATTATATTTATATTTACAATAATATATATGTATATATATATATATTATAATTATATTTCCTATATTAAATAATTCAATTTAAAAATTAATTCTTTCTTTCTTCATTTTTTAACAATCTATGTTAGTCTTAATTAAATAAATTTAATTTTTTAAAAACTTTATAACATGGCTTCTAAAAAAATATACGTGGCACTAGTATTGCTGTGGGTCATAGTGACACCGTAGTAAACTGCCACAAAGGCGTAAATAGTTTTAAAATAGTCTCATTTACGTAATTAATTTTAGAAAATACCCTACAATTATCAATCAACCGATTTTTACACTTAGCGATTCAACTATTAGTAGTAGAAAAACATACATAATCCTACCTAAGGTTAACATACAAGCAATTCCTAGAAGTACAAGTGATAATATATACACGTACATAAATTTATACCAACAACTGAAATTTATACAAGTATACGTATATATAGTAATCCAAAAACTAAAATATATAAACCTAGCTTATCAATCAAGCAACAACTACCAATTATAAGACTAGCTACACTAAGGTAGCCCAAAGATTAACATTGTCATCACTAACATGACCCCACAAAAATTCACTTGCAACCTATCCATACCCTACTCTCATATAAATATGATCATCGTAGTCAAATCATAAGATAACATGCAACAGAAAGCTAGTATTCAAAAGAATAAGCATATAACAAGTATAGAAATAAAACAACTATACTACCAACACCAGCATGTAAACCATACAACCACAACAATAAGCATAGCTTACAACATACCAAGATAATTTTAGCACCTCAACATGGCATTCAACAACCTTAAAAGGTAAACAATTTAATCATATCACAACATATTACAACTTTCACCACACCATGTCATTCAACAACAACCCACATAGCATATGAACAACATCACACTCAACACATCCTATACATAACACCTCAACTATGCGTCATCACGCATTCACCTACGGAGCTCTCCTACAACAAAGGTGAGTCATCTAAGTTACTTCACCTTACTAAATCAACACAATCTTTTTACACCTATTAGATCAACAACCAATTTAGATAAAAAATCTATAACATGGTTTCTTGGATTTTTCCACTTAAATTAGGAAGTTTATTATTCTTATCAAGGTAAAACAACTTGGGTGTGAGTCTACCATAGCATTAGCTTGCATAACTAAGCCACCTATGGGATTAACCCACTGACTATTTTCTAAATACTACACCCTTCCAATACTTAGTAAGGGATTTTGACCCTCAATGTCCTTGTACCTTACTCGATTAGTCACTTTACACATGTATGTTTCGAACTTACCCACATACGAATTAATATTGATCACTTATAATCAGTATAGCTCAATCTAACCCCTATACTATGGTCACTTATAGGTGGTATGCATTGATCTTGCTCACATACCACATCAACTAAGGTCCTAGTAGAGACTCGATTATCTACTTCAAGATTCAACTACTAAATAAGGATTTTCAATAACTGAACTCGAAGAGTGCCACACTAGTATCCTTACAATGAATATCCAACTTTCTAAAACACCTTCTATTCTAGTCTTAAGTCAATCAATACAACAGATCCTAATGCCTTAAATATCTCAAGCATTCCCAGCACCATTGTCTCAACATTTCAACAATTAATCATCCATATACATTATCTCAAATCAATGTATATAGAATTACTAACACCATTCAACAATATTCAAGTATCAACAATTTAATCATCAATATACATTATCCCATATCAATGCATAAATAACTAGCGTCATATACCAACATACACCAGTAAAAGATTCAACAAAACATGTACATGTTCACCATTTTCTAAAACAAAAAACACATTTTCATAAGGAAACCCAAGCCTAATGTCAAATTCCTCGCACCTAACGTCATTGAGATAGAGAGCTCTTAAGCTTGCCCACACCCAACGTCACTCAACTTATACCCAATCAAGATGAGACAAAGAGTCCCTATTATTCTCACGCCTAGCATGGCCAAACTCCACATCTAACCTCATTTTAGGCAAATAGTCTTTACTTGATTCATCCCAATGTCACTAAACTAGCATTTGACATCGTCTAGGAATAGAGCCTTTGTATTAGTCATGCTTAGTGTGTGACACCCTATAACTTGTATGTCATAACATTTAATATAATAAATAACTAAAATGCCTCAATAAAATAAATAAACTCAAAAATTACACAAGTAGAAAGAATCACATTTTAACTTAAATTGGACATAGCAAAAATATCAAATTACAAAGAAATAAAATCAATTATTGAATTTAAATAGCATGAATCAAATCTTAACTAGTCCTAACTACTCCTCGATGTCACATGTCCTATCAGAGCAATCAAACATTGAGGATTACGCCTCATCACTAACATCCTCAATACCATGCTGATGATCACCTATAACAGCCACAAGGAAACAACACAAGGAAAAAAGGAGTGAGAAATATCTCACTCTAGCTCATACTGCAGGAATGAAAATCGACTAGTCAACTTGTCCTATTTGAGCAAAATTCAACATTGAAGACTAGGCCTCATCACCAAGATCCTCAACACCATGTTGGTGGTTACCTATAGAAATCACAATAAAATAACACAAAAGACAAAGGTGTAGAAATGCAAATCGACTAGTCAAATACAAACAACACATATAGTAATCTATAGAAAAATAGTTACACATTATCATCATACTTAGGGAATTCAATTACAGATAGAATTATAGTACATATACAATGGACACAGACTACATGTTATTATGCATTTGGTGCTAGTAAAAATATCACACTTGTGTATTTCACTAGCAATAAAATAGAGTAGTCTAAGAGTATATGTTGGGTCACACCTTCTACACACTTTTACTAGAAGGACATACCACTAGGGTTTGGTCCGGATAGCTAAGTCACACAAGATATATCCCATGCTCACGAGGGCAGGATTGGAACTCACAAACCGAGTTATCCCTAAGGTTAATTTCCAATCTTTTATACAAGGGACCTTCCCTGGTAGTGTATTCCATATCGTATCCTTTCAAAAATATTTTATGCATATGATGCATGTTAAATAGACTTTATGCGTTACATTCACATGGTTCCATGATCTCACATTTAACACATTCATCGCGTCTCATTACTAATCACATGCCTTCATATATTCATCAACGGAGTTTAATTCACATCCACATCAACATTACAATACAAAAATTACATTATTGAAATTAACAGAAGATCAACAAGGAATTCTCAGGCAGGACGATGCCTAGTGACACACATCTCACACCTGATAAGATACTTCAAGAGCACTACATTAGTCTCTGATTAAATCGTGCCCGATGTGATCGAGTTCACGCCTAGCGAGAATACCACGAAGAGCTCTCTAGAGTGTCCATGCCCGACACCCCTAGAGCTTTTGCACTCATCAAAGGTCATTCCATACCCAACGTGAGATTTACTCTTGACCTTAACAACGCTTGACGCATCCCATGTTGCACCTAACAATATATCAAAAATTGCACATTTGTAGAATCACGAATTCTCAAACAAGAACCTCAATTTCAACATCCACATTTCAATTAGTAAAAAACACTATCAAATTACGCAATAATCATTCTAATTAAACAACACATTACACATATATAATTGCATACCTAATCAATATCTTCGTACAATTACTAATGCATTTCTTTAGGATTTTCCAAGGAACCCATAGAAATCTCAAATCATACAATTACAACCTAAAAGCATGCAATAAATCATTTATTCAAACAATTCATGCAATTAATCACATACAAGAAGAATAAAAAGTAAAACAAATACAATTGAGAAAATCCCTCATACATGAGCAGACAACATACACAAGATTGGGACCAATCCCACAACTCGACAAATAAACTCACACCAGAACAAGGTTCCTCACTCCCCCTCTTACCTGTATCAACTCTAGGTGATAGGTGCACAACTTTAGGATAATTTCCTTTCTACTCCTATTATTCGACCTCTAAAGCACGTATATGAAAATAGGGTGTAAAAAGGATTTGATAAAAAAAACTCCTCGTTTTAGAAAAAAAAAAAAAAAAAAAAACCTATCCTCTTTATAAGCTTCTAGTCAAAACATACTAATCACAGTTACAATTCCCTTCCCTTTTTAATAAAATATTATACTATTCTTTAATAAAATATCATATAATATATTATAAAATATATTACATAATTAAAATAAATATTTAATAGCCCCTATTAATAAAATATAAATATCAAAGTTATTAATAAAATATTTATAAAAATATTTATATTATATTTTATGAAAAATGAGGTGTTACATAATGCCTCTCAACTAGGGGCCTAACGTCATCAAGTTAGAGACATTTCTCTCTCTTCATGCTTGACGTCCCGACATGATCATAATAGAGAACCCATTATTTAAGTCATGTTTAACGCTTTGAAGGCATGTTGGGCGCAATGGTGATTTTTGTACATAACAGAATTACAAATTTGACTCATCCACACTTGAAACTTAGAAAATCCAACATGCAAGACACCAACTCATACATATACAATATAAACACCTCAAATCCAGCTAGAACTACAAAATGCAACACCATATTCTCAAAATCATCAAGTTCTTCTCTTTGAAAAACCAAGAATCACAAATTCGCAACCAAAACTTAAAACATACATCTTAGCAACAATAGATGCAATCATTCATCCAATCCTTCAACAACAACTTTAACAAACAACAAGAAATCAGTTCTAACTTTCCTTACCTTGGAATTGAAGAGAAACGAGGAAGAAGAAGAACAACTCTAAGCTAATACCAATACTCTACACAAACTTAGATTTCCAACATCATCAACAGCCTTGAATCACCAACAAGATACTCGATTGAGATCTTCTACAACTCTTAGAAGGCTAGAAAGAAGAAGAAGAGTTTTTAGAATACCGAAGCTCCTCTCTTTGCTTTTTCTCACTCAAGTTTCTTAAAAGAAATCTTATATACTTTCCTCTCAAAATCGAATTAAACCTCAATCTAAAAGAAACTCTAAACCACCTAAACTCCTAAGAAATTCCTAAATATCAAAAATTTCTCAATAATTAAACAACAAATCACCACAACATATAATTATTAATAAACTCAACAATAATTAATAAAAATGTATTGTTACACGAGGTACGGTTTGCCACTCCTAAAAATAATGTTTAAAAGTAGATCCAAGATAAACTGTCGCTAGGATTCCACGAATTATTAAAAAGTTGGGTTTACGGTTTGTCAACAAAAGCACATAGAAGACGATCGAAGCCTACTCAACACATTAGTTCTGCCACCTAACTTTGGGTCCAGCAGTTTGTACATATATATATGAACCTAATGTATAACTTATGGTTATCTCTTTCATTATTGTCATATTGATATTAAACAGTAATTTCTTTGGATAAGAGTTCATTCATTATTTGGTTTTAAATTTGGTCATATGTGATCGATGCAAGCAAAATTCGACTTGGAACCTATCCCAGTGTGTATGCATATCTTATTGGAACAGCAGTTGTAGTTCTTTATGTTATTCCAAAAGTTAGGGATATAAAATATAGAAGTATGCTCGTGGTTATTTAAGACGAACAGCAAGTTAACTTGTTGACTAGTTGTGAATACAATAAAATAAAACAAAATACTAACGAGAGGTTTTAACCGTTTGGTTATTTTTGTCTCAAAAGACTTTGATTTTCTACTTTTAGCTAAGATATTCTTCATGCTAATTAGAGATGGCGATTAAATGATACGGATATTTTCTTTGAATTTTGAATTTGACTTTCACGGAAAAAAAAATGGCTTTAATTAGAGTTGAAAATGGATTTTATATTAACTTGTGAAACTAATATATATAAGATGTAACCACTCGCCCTAAATCTTGAACCCCGTGTATATATCACATATGGGTGTACTTCTTCATCTTCATTATCAATCACAAATTGTTGTCTATCTCTTATTCTCAAATTTGTATTATAATGAACATTATTATCATGAGACGTGTAATAACATTGTTTTTAAATATTTATTTACGTGATTGGCGAGTTTTTAATAGACTTTTATAAATAGTAATTAGAGTAACATAAGTAGAAATAAAGAAAAGATATTTCTAAAATCATAAATGAGACTATTTCAAGAGGATAAGTTGAAATCAACTCTAAAAATCAAATCAAAAGGATAAGATGAGATTCAACCTAAAATATCAAGTTAAAAGCCTAAATTTTAGTAAAATATCTCTTTGATAAAAAAATTAATTTTAAAATAATTTTCTAAAATTTAATAAATAATTATATTAACCTGTTGAAATATCTACAATATATATATATATATATATATATACAAGGCCCAAATCTGGCTAGAGTCAGAGTGTACAAAAATACGTCCATCACTACTACACTAGGTAGCTAAGACAACATGATGGAAGAGATTAGGAGAAGTGGAAGATGTTCAGTTGTGTTATATATATATATATATATATATATATATTATTTGTGTCTCTGTGAGTCTTATAAAATAGAACAAACTTAACTCATCATACTAATGAAGACAGACTATGTATAATTTGAACCCATAAGATGAAGGGAGATAAACTAAATGTATAGTCTGAACTTATCAAACGAATGGAGACAAACTAAACTTATAAGACTATAAAGGTGAAAGACTTTATAAAGGATACAAATGATACATTAGATTTTGAGTCATTATCAACAATTATGTTATCAATTATACCTTACTTTTAATTAATTTACACATGATAACTAATATGCATTTATTATGAAAAAAAATGAAAGAGGGTATAATAGAAAACATCAAAATCATTCTATGAAAAATAGAAAAATTTATTACATTTCTTAATTTGTGTAAAACAACCTTAAATGACTATTATAAAGAAATGAAGGTAGTACATACTTAGTGTAATTAATTTTTTCTTGTAAATTGAACAACTTAATATGTTTTTAGTCTCTTAAATTTAGAGTAAATTTGTTTTTAGTCCCTCAAATTTAAAATTATTATTTTTAGTCCTTGTAATTTTTAAAAATTTTGTTTTAATCCCTTAAATCACTAATAACATATATAAAAGTGACAAATTGATAAAATTAACATCTATTGGGTTTAATTTGAATTTTCATTAACAAGGATACCTGTAAATAGATTTTATAAGATAGTATTTAATAGATTCTCTAACAAAATTTAAATATAAAAAATAAAATAATATTTTTTGAATTATAGAACTAAAAGTATTAATTTTAAATTTAAGGCATTGAAAATAAATTTATCTTAAATTTGAAAGATTAAAAATATATTTAAAT